TGGAGTGCGTAGCAGTTCGACTTTCGATTTCGACTATGTCCACTTCGAGCTTCCTCAGCCTGAAGGCAAGAGTGGTAACTTGTGCTAAATTGTAGTGAGAATAGACTCGCGCAAAATTTACCTCACTCTCTCCCCCACCTGTACCCGGTGTTCACACAGAAACTCAAGAAGGCCGGGGATGGGGAGGGCGCAGGTGGCTGGCGCGGCACCGCACATACTGCTGAGACTGGCGACAACTACAGAAAAACGGCTGCCGCCGTCCTTTCAGAACAACAGCATCTTTCTAGGCTCCCGCTTATGTGGGGGTGCCACAAAGGCCACAGTAAGAAGGCGCCAGCGAAGTCTGACTCTCAGTCTACAAGTGGGCCATTCCACTCCACGCAAACAAGGTGCAAGTTACGCCGTCAGGTGGCTACCTTTTAAGCCAGCATGGCTTTTAGTGCACCGTGTTACCTTCAAGCTCGTCAGATTATTTGTAGTGATGAAAATGCACTGAAACATCTACTGCGCCCTCTTTTCCCCTTCCCAGGCCCCAGAGACTAACCGAGCCAATCAGATTTCTGTAGCCATTTTACCCACACTATGTGATCACTTAGTCCCAGAATGAATTGTTGTGGAGATACGGAAGCTCTATTTACAGTACGATGTCCATCCATCCATCCATCCATCACATCTTCGCATTCTGACTGTCTTACGTAGGTCACCAGTGCCGAGCGTCTAAGTGAATAGATGTTGAGGGGAAGTAAACCAGATTACTGTGAAATGGGGGATCCCAATCGGTTGCACATGAATGACCAACGCACCAGTCAAAATATGCAGTATACACTACACGCAAAAATCTCCATGGTGATTGAAACTGTTAGCCAAAAAAGCCGTGGCGAAAGTAAAAGGGGATACCACATCTTCGTTTAGGTTTTAAAAAACCTCTCAGCAGGGCAGGTTTGTCGGGAAAGTCGAATATGAAATGAATTGTAATGGGTTATTTTACACCGATCTGTTTGAGGATGCACTCATCCTGTTTTACATGAAATGAATCACACAGGCAGCCTGACATCCTTGTATGTAAATGCAGTTGGTAGGTGAACGGTACCAACGCCGATAAAAAATATTAAAATTTCATCTCATTACCCATTGACTTCTTCACCGTTTTTGTTCTCTGTTTCTATCTGTCTCCCTCAGGCTATCGACTAAAGTATGATTGGAGGGTTTGCGAGGACACCTGCACCAATATCTTGACAGAGCTAGGCCTCCTAAAGTATACATTTAGTCGGTCTGGTAAGGCCAACGTCACAGTCACTATTTCCGACCGTTTCGAAAGCCGAAAGACCTTCCAACTTCTACGCATCTTCGATCACTGCGCACCCCACTTCGCACAGCCCCGTTCAGTCGAAATCGGGGAGTATGTCACCTACAGGTTTTCGGGCACACTTGGAGCGGACTGTTGGGTCACCTGGTCTGTCGATGAAAATTTCACCCAGCCATCGAAGACCCCGAGCCTAACATGGGTATTCGAACACAGTGGCGTCTACAACGTGTGTGCACACCTCAATAATGGCATTAACAGCTTCGGTCAGAATTGTCGAACACAGACGGTGTTGGCCAAAGCACGCGGTACGTCAACGTTTGGTTTTGGTTTGGCTCTTATCCCCGCTTTACCATGTATTTCAATCGGCAGAACAGAGACCTCCTCGTAATCGGCTCGCTTCGTTCTCTCGTCCATACTGCCGGCATCCCTGGTGGTAGTGGCATCCGCGCTTCAGCGAATAAAAGCACACCACGGCCCAGAACTCGTGCAACATGTCGAAATATGCGAAAGATTGATAATCTCTCTCTCTCCTGATCATCGGCATTGAATACGGTTGTTATACTGAATAGCAGATAGCCTATTCCCAAGTCATTTCAGTCACGATAGGATGCCGGCTTTTTAGCGAGCTTCCCTCTGACGGCTGACAAAAAGTAGGTACTGCAAAAAACGGCTACATAAAGTATGGCGAATGCTGCAAGAAACATTCCGCAATTTTAAAATGACCGGTAATTACTCGCAAACCAGCATTGAGTAAGGTTACAATACTGTTTATCATGCAGTCCAGTTTCAATTATTATCAGTCACATTAGGATGCCAACTCTGTGATGAGCTTCTTTCTGAACGCTGATAATGAGCTGATTCTGTAAAAAGGCTGCTTAAATAGTATGCACTTTTATCATTGATTTTGACTGCCCTTATAAATTCACATATATTTTATGGAAAGCATGCACGAAAAAATCCTCTCTGATAGCAAATTACGCCTTCCTTAAATTTTAATCTTAAAGGAAGGGTTTCCTTCGGTTTTAGAAAGTTTTCTAAATTGCCGAATGATTTTGAAAGCTACCGACTGCTAGAACTGAATTCAAGTTTTGCAAGCTGAATGCTGTGTCCATCCTGTTTAAGGAAAAGTACGTTCTTGTTTATGGTTCGAGGGAGTGTTTGCATAGCTCTCAGATAATTTCGCAATCGACATGGATCATGCTGTATATATCAGGGGCGGCACTAATAAATTGACGGATACGATGTTTTATGAATGAATACCGCAGAAAATTAATTTAAAGAAGGCGTAATTTTCTATCAGATAAGTACAAGAGAGGATTTTTTTATTGCATGCTTTCCATAAAATATATTTGAATTTATAAGGGCAGTCAAAAGGAATGATGAAAATGCATACTATTTAAGTAGCCATTTTTTACAGAATCAGCTTTTTCGCAGCGGTCAGAAAGAAGCTCATCACAGAATTGGCATTCTAGTGTGACTGAAATTAATTGAAACTGGATTGCATGATAAATAGTATTGCAACCATATTCAATGTTGGTTTGCGAGTGATTACCGGTTATTTTAAAATTGCACAACGTTTCTTGCAGCACTCGCCATACTGTAAGTAGAGCATGACCAGAATTCGTGCAACATGTTGACATATGCAAAAGATTGATACTCTCTTTC